CTGCTGACTTTTCCCCTAGTTCCTATTAATTCTTTCTAGAAACCTCCTCTTCACCTTGAAACCCACCCCCGTGCCCCCCTCACTCCCTCACACACATACACATTCCTTAGGGGCCTTTCATTGCGTGTGTCTAATACCCTGGGTTTATTCCTCTAATTGCACCTACTGAGGCAGCATATCTGTCTCTTGCTGCCCAGCACCTTGATCATTTTCGTCTTCACTACCTACCACAGTGCCATGTACAAAGCCAACCCTCAGCACCCAACTCTGATGCTGTCTCATTTTCCCTCATGAGGCCCTTCTGACGTGAAAGAGCAGTCTGTGAGCAAGCAGGCTGAGACTAAGCATTCAGTCACATCACCATTTAAAGGAGATATGGGGAGTAGCTCAACTTCCAATGGCCCAGAAGGGGCAGTGGGCATGTCCACAGAAATAACCACAAGGGCCCTTATTGGTAGATCCAGTCCATCTGCCACAACTACAAGCTCCACATCTAGCTCAACCCTCTCCATCCCAGGGTGGAAAGGTCCCAGATCTATGGCATAACTTACCTTTCTCAGGCTTCATAGGGACTGGGGTAGTTGTTGAGCGTGTGCTGGGAGTTGAGGTTGTAAGGCCCTGGATAGTTGTTGAGAGTAGTGGTGTTGCTGTGCTTTTCTGATTGTCTGTCGTCAGTGAAGCTGTGATTGTTCCTGGCATGCAGGAAGAGAAGACTGGAGTGGGTCTTACAGTCAGACAAAGCAGAGTCAAAAAAAGTCACAGACTTTAGGAGCTGGAAGAGACAACTAGAAACCATCTTATCTCTCTTCTGGTCATATCCAAATGACTCTCTGCAGATAAGCAGTTGTCTGCTAGGGCAGAGGGGATTGTCACCCACCACACCCCCATTCACTTTACCCTCTTATGGACCTGACCTCAATCCTAAACTGGTAATGTTAACTCACCATTCTCTCTCAAGTGCTCCTCTAGGCCAAATTGAGCCAATGTAGCCACTGTAAGAGACCGAGACACTTTAGTCTCCACCTACCTGATGTATCCGCCTTCACAGTGGAGCGTGAGAATGCTGTGGATGGTGGGAAAGTACCGGTACCAGACAAAGGTGTGGGATGACTTGTGAATATGGTGGTGGAGCTCCAGGTGACTGCAGGGTCAGGGGCTGATTGAGAGAATGAAGAATTACCAGTTGAAGTATAGAAACTCAATATGGCCTGAACTTTGCATATATTACCAGAAGAAATAGAATCAGAGAAAGCAGAGCCTACTGATGGCTGTGGTATAAGCAATATACTCATGGAATACTTAGGTGCTGAAGAAGTATGAGTGGTCTTGATCAAAGGGTAGGTTATAGGTGGAAATGAAAAAATCAGTGTGGAAAAAAAAGGAGAGAATTTCAGTGTGGATCCAGATACACTGTTACAAATATTTGTAGAACTCATATATATTGGCCTTATAATAGGGTTGGTAGTAGCGGCTACCCTTTAAACATTACAGGATGCTCAGGGGTGGGTGTGCTTGACTTGCTTACCAAGGCTGTTGGGACTTGTATGATATTTCTCAGAGAGTTACTGACAGAAATTACAGTGGGAATGACCTATGCAGTCATGATTTCATGAATGACTGAGCTTGAGGGTGTTGCCAGGACTTCTCCACGTGTGGACAAGGTAGTAAAAGGAGAAAGAGAGGTGACGGGAGAAGTAGTTGCAGTTGCAGACAGTGACATAGGCTCTGATTTTCCTACAGTGGTTTCTTTTAAGAAAGGTATTGTCATAATTTCTGATGTCAGAAGAGTGTGGCTGACACAGGAAGAAACTGAAGTGATGTTTCACCTAAAGGAGATGTCTCCTCAAAAACAAATGCTGCAGAATTGTGCCCAATTGGTAAGAATAAGAAAGATAATGAGTTAATTGCTATAATGATGCAGGTTGGTGAGAGTCTGACAAACTCAGTGCCCTCTGTCCCATGGTTCTTAAAGAAGGTTGAATTTTCCTTAGTAGAGGTGTTGGAATACAGTGCTGTTGGCTGTTTATTTAAGTTGTAACAAACACAAATGAGGTGAGTGACACAGAAGCTGTAGTAATAGAGAAAAATGTCCTTGTTTTTCATACAGTGGAGTCTGTTGAGGTTGGTGCTGGCATCATTTTTTTCTTCATAAGAAATTGGGCATGACAATAGAATGAGAGGAATCGGTTGTCTCACCTGAATGGGATGTCTTCTGAGGAAAAGCTGATGTGGGGACATTTCCACTTGGTGAAGGTGAAAGGGTTGATGTGCTTATGTCTGTGATGGGGCTGGTTTGTGGATGATTGGTGATCTCAGTGATCATAGAAAGGTAGTTCCTTGATGATGCGGATGTTTCCTTGGTAGAGGTGCTCAAAGAGGGTGCTAACGTATGTCCACCTACTTCAGTTGTACGTAAGGCTTCAGAGGTGACTGAAGAAGGAGTTGTAGTTACAGAGAATGTCATGCCAATTGTAGTTCCCAGAGTAGTGTCTGCCATAGTTGGTGCTGACACGATTCCTGAGGTTGTCAGAGGTGGGCTGCTGACACTAGATTGGGATGAAGTTGTCGTCTCACCTGAATGGGATGTTGTCTGAGGAGCACCTGACGTCAAAATCGTGCCACTTGAAGAAGATGAAGGAGTTGATGTGCTCATTTCTGTGATGGTACTGGTGGGTGGTGTTTTGGTGAGGACAGTGCTCTCAGTGTGGTCGCTCTGTGAAGATGCTGGTGTTTCCTGAGTTGAGGTGCTCAAAAAGGGGGCTGTTGTTTGTCCACCTACCTGAGTTGTCTGTGGGAATTCTGAGGTGACTTCCGTGGAAGTTGCAGTTACAGAGACTGGGATGTCATTCGTTGTTCCCACAGTGG